CAAACATGTCAAAACCCTTGTTTGGACTAACAAGCTGCTTCAAGAGACGAAAGTGGTGGTGGTTGCCTGGCAAATGACTTCAGCATCACTTCTGAATCTTTTAGGCTATGGAGCCTATCAACTGCTTTGTCCGAAAAAAGGAAAGGTCCTTCATATGGGAGGTCTTGGATGGTCTGCTGAACAGGAGTGATGAATTCTTCCTAAAAAGTAGTGTGTGTGTGTGTGTGTGTGTGTGTGTAAAAATGAGGCCTCTCTCCCTCTGTGGCCCCACCCCCTACTCCTCCTCTTTCCCGAGGCCCTGTCCCTCCAACCAAGCCAGAAGCCAGAGCTGGGTCAGCGAGCCTAGGCCCCTCAATCTGCCTGCGGGGGTGGGGTGGGGGTGGGGAGGAGGCTGAGAGCAGTCCCCACCCCATGTCCCCTGCCCAAGGCAGATGTAGGGTCTGCATCTTCCCACAGCTGCCTGCATGGCTCTTACCCCGACCCACCTGGCCTGGCCTGGGGCGGGGCCTTGGGAGCAGGAGAAGCGCAGCTGGGCCATTGTAAAAACTGCCTGGGCAGCTGTGGGAAGCCATGGACACTCTATCTGCCCTGGGTGGGGGTCGGGGACAGGGGCTGCTCTCAGGCATCCCCACCCCAGGCAGGTGGAGGGTCCACGGCTCCCTCAGCTGCCTGGGTCCCCCGGGCCTCTCTTACCTGGGTCGGGCTCCTGCTTCCTGCTGAGCTTGGGGGCGGGGCCTCAGCGGGTTGAGGAGGGGCGGGGGGCCAGGCCTATGGTGAAAAGTGGATGGGCCAGGCCTGTCCACTTTCAAAAGTGGGAGGGCCATGGCCCCATGGAGCCCCCCTTTCTGGCGCCACTGCTGCTGAACTTCTGGCAGAAGACCAGAAGACTGCAGCCGCAAACACCTTCTCATAGTTAGGGCAGATGCCATGACTCGAGCCACAGAGTCAGCTGCAGCCAAGCTGGCCTGAAGAGCTGTTCTAGCCACTAGTTTGCCCTTGTCCATAATCACAATGAATTCTTGTCTGCAGCTGTCAGGTAACCGGTCTTTAGGACTGCAATATGTTATCCCACAAGGTGAAGTCATACTGACCTAGACGTTCCTGTTGATTTGCAGTGCAAACCTGCAGATCTGCTGTAGAATAAAGTTTTCAACCAAAAAGATCTAGCCTCTTTGAATCTTTCCCTTTTGGAGTGCATGCCTTGTGTCCTTGCCTCTCCAATGCATTAGCTCTGGCAACTATTAAAGAGCCTGGAGGGGTGTGTCTGTACAGATATTCAAAACCCTTAGAATGGACAGAGTAGCTCCTCTCCACCTTTTTTTCACTACGGAGTGGGGAGGGAAGATGGGGTCTATTATAATACCTTGATTGGCGCCAAAATTGCCTCATTGATCAGTAGTGCCCAATTTTTTTTTAATAAGTCCTGGTGAGTGCTATAATCTTCTGATGTGGAAGAGTCACTCATTGCCTCTACAGCCTCATCTGGTCATGAGTAAGAGGATGCAGATGGATGCTGAGACAGCATTTGCTCTATTTCCATGTGCTGGAGAAACTGCTGGAATGTCTTCCACTTGCTTGGTACCAGTCCTGGTATCAACTATAGGAAGATGACGTTTCTGGTGCTGATGCACTCATCGTGCACCCAAGGAGATAGACTGAGGTGGATGAAGGGATGACCTGGCAGGTTGGGGGAAAAACTGCATAGGATCCAGAAAGGCCTCTGACATGGTCCTGGGGTCCATTTTTAACCAGGCCATTGCTCCTTGACAGGTGGCTGCTGTAAGACCCATGGCACATAAGTCTCAGATGGAGAATGCACACTGTACCTAGGTTGAGACACATAAGACCCAACCTGTGGTGTATGAAGACTCAGACCTTTGATAACAGGGGAGCAGAACTCATTGTCACCAGAGAGAGAGAGCGCCTGACTCTGGAGATGGTAGTACCAGGGAAATCATAGCCAGCTTCCCTCTTCTTGACAGTACTGTTTTATGAGGCAAGGAAAGAGTCAATTGCAAGGGCACTGCAAGCTTCAGAAGCCTGAAGGCTGGAAGCCTAATCAACAGAACCAGCTGGAAGCCTTCCTGCCCCGCTGGAACCAATATTGAGAAGTTAAGTAGCTCTCTAGTAGCTGCGTACCATTCCAGTGTCAACTGTACCAGCATAGTTTCTTGGGCTTGCAGTTTCTCCAGAAGATAGCCTGAAGAAGCTACAGTGAATACTTCAGGAGTCCATCTCAATGGAGCTGGCACAGGTTAACAACCTCCTCTTCTTAGATTAAGAGTATTCTGGGAAGTGCCTCCTCTTAGAGTCCCTCCAGGAATTCTTGCCTTTAGGGAGGGTTCAGTACTGATGATCTTGCTGAGTTAGGTACCAAGTCCCTAGAAATCTTGTGCCTCTTTCTCAGCTCCAATGACAGACAACTCAGGCAGAGCACTCGGACAAACTCTTACGTATCTGATGCCTGCTCTGAAAAGGACGGCACTAAGGATAGACAGAATGCTGACTCTATATGAAGACACTCTGTCCTTCTCTGAGTTAGTCTTAAATCCTTTGCAGATGTGACACTCGTCACTCACATGGGATTTCCTCAAGCATTTCAGGCAGCTGGGGTGTGGGTCACTCACTGGCATCAATTTGCTACATGAACAACATGATTTAAACCCCGGAGATGGAAGCGTAGCTCCAGTACTGAAATTTAAAACTGGCCAGACTAAAGACCTATGGTGGAATGGACATGTGCAATTACTTGAAGAAGAACTAATCTTAATACAAGTATCAGAAAGCTGATTGAAGGAAAAAGTATGAGAGTCATAGGTGCTGACTCCGTGGGTGCACTGGGGCTGGAGCACGGACAGAAAAAAAAAAATTGTGAGTGCTCAACACCCACCAGCAGCCCCGTGGATCAGTGCCCCCCCCCCTCCCAGAACGTCTCTTGATCAGCTGTTCAGCGGCGTGCAGAACGTGCTGGGGGGAGGAGCGGGGGCCGAGCACTACCCAGGAACTGAGAAAGTCGGCACCTATAATAAGCCACATTTATGAAACAAGTCAGGATCAGGTGGAGGAAAATTATTCAACTTTAAGGACCAAGTAAGATTTTCAAACTTTTGCTACTGACATGCTACTCAGTTCTCGTACCAATGAGCTAAGTCTGAAGTTTGATCATATCTTGCACTTAATACATTTTACTCATTAGACGCAAGAAAATTGGGAAAATCTTTCAACTTTTGCTAGCACCTTTTGGAACAGGAAGACAAAGTTAGCACTCAGAACCACCAATAGCTACAGAGAAAGTTCCTTAATATGCATAACTGAATATCAAAACTATCACTCTTAAAATTATGTTATCAGGCAGAGTTATCTTTTATTTCCCTAGATGATCTCCTGAGGTTTCTTCCAACCCTAATCTTCTATGATTCTATGATTTGCGGTACCATGGTGAGGTGTGGTATGAAAGCCTATATACAATAGAAGAAATTATTTTATTAAAGAACCACACTAAGTTCTTTCCAGACATACAAGAAGGAGTGGTCCCTGCCTCAAGAAGCTCAGAATCCTAGGATGGACAGACAGGCAAACACAAAAAGGATTTTCTATACAAATCAACAAGATAGGTAACTTAACAGACGTTGTTTTATATGAGGAATGTAGTGAGTCGGTGTGGCTCCCCTCCTGCCCAGAAGAGGGAGCCCCCGTGCAGACACCAGAGTGGGTGGAGCCACCACCGCCTGTCCCCACCCCCCGGAAGTCAAGGGGCGGGACAGGAAGTATAAAGGCCGGCCGCCAGAGCTCAGTCAGCGGCCAGCCACCACAGGGAGCAGACGTGCGGCCTGGAGCTCCCGGCCAGGAGACCTCCGAGGCCCGAGCCACCCCGGGCCCGCTACGAGGAGGAGCCGTCGGAGCCCATCCGCTCCCGTCGCTGGGAGGAACCCTGGGAGCCCCCCCACACTAACCCTGAAGGCGAGACTGCACCAGAACCCCTCCGCCCCTGCTGCTACCCGGAGGAGCTGCCCGAGTGCAACTGGCCTTATTTCCCGACGGAGCTGCCAGACCTGCCACCAAGCCCTGGCTGAGAGGAGCCCATGCAGCTGGACTGGCCTGAGCCCGGTGCGACGAACGAGGTAGGCCCTGAGGGGGAACCTGGAAGTAGCCCGGGGATAGCCGACCCCGGTCAGGCTGCAGACGAATGTGACCCAATGTCAGTGTGTTGCGGTCTGGATACCCCACTGACCAGCAGCGGCAGTCACCGCTGCTAGGGCCCCGGGCTGGAACGCAGTGGAGTGGGTGGGCCTGCGTTCCCCCCTGCCACCCCCGCTCACAGGTGGCAGGCTTCCCCCTCACCCAACGCTCGGCTGTAAGAGCCTAGGCGTACCTTGACTGTTTGCTTGCTCAGCCCCTGCACCAAAAGGCCTGAGCCATAACTGTGTGTGCCCCGCCCTGATCCAAGGCCTGGGCTCCTTACCTGTTTGCTTGCTCAGCCCCTGCAACTAAGGGCCTGAGGCTTGAACTAACTGCTGTCGGCTCAGTCCCTGCACCTGAGGGCCTGAGCCCTGAGCTAGCTGTCGGCTTTGCTCAGCCCCTGCACCAGAGGGCCTGAGCCTGGAACTAACTGCTGTCGGCTCAGTCCCTGCACCTGAGGGCCTGAGCCCTGAGCTAGCTGTCGGCTTTGCTCCGCCCCTGCACCAGAGGGCCGGAGCTTCTGGACTAACTGACTGCTTGTTCCCACAGTAGTGAGTCGGTGTGGCTCCCCTCCTGCCCGGAAGGGTCGAGCCCCGGCCAGGACCTATTACAAGGAACATAAAAGACAGGCTGCATGTTCTGTTTATCCTACCCCCTCCACAAAATGTTATTTTACAAATGATTCCAGGTAGTTTAAGACAGACACTTCATAGTTGTATTACTCCAAAGTTAAGTTATGAAACACTAACACACTACACAAATAGTAATCAAAGTTAACCTGATTATCATTTACTTATGAGATCATCAGGATTTGTACTTACTTGAGCTCTCTGCTAAGCACTATATTAATTCTGTCTTTTAAGGGGCGATTCTTCTCAGGAATTGAGAACCAGGTCCTCTTACCCATTATCAACACATTCTGTTTACCTGTGTAATATACAAAACATTTTTTAAAAACTGTTTCAACTTAGTACAGAATCAGAGGTGGTGGTTTAGTGACATCTAGTGGATTTATCCCCCCCAATCTCCTTTGAATTCTATTTAAACAGTTAATATGTTGAAGTGGGCTGTAGTCCACGAAAACTTATGCTCTAATAAATTTGTTAGTCTCTAAGGTGCCACAAGTACTCCTGTTCTTCTTTTTGCGGATACAGACTAACACGGCTGCTACTCTGAAACCTATGTTCAAGTGCAAATTTTAAACATTAGCAAGACTAAAAGTAAGTAAAAGATCAAACTTAGGCCCAGATCCTGTGATTGCTCATGTGAATAAAAGTAACATACATACGTGTTTGCAGGATCAAGGCCTTGGTATGCACTCTTTTAAAAAGCCAAACAAAAAAGTAAGTTTTAAATATAAAACTGTATGACTTATGATTAACAGAGTATCTATACTATCCAAAAGAGGACAGCTTCGTGGATGCTTTGATTTGGCCCTAACTTCCTGGAACCCTGATTCTTTTCACTAGAAACAAGGTATAACATGTTCAGTATGTGATATTTAAACTTAAAAGCATTTCAAATATCTCTTTCCCTAAAAATGTAGGATCTATATCCCACAAAATTATAGAAAAACGATTTTGCCACTGCAAACATTTCCAGAAAGCTAGTGCAAGCTAGGAGACAAACTCACCTACAACCTGAACCTAAATGGGACTGTTTTACAAAGCTGGACTGTGTGTCAAACTTAACATCACCATTTTAAAACGTTAGTGGCAAAAATTAGACTATTCACACCAGCATTTAGTGTACTAGCTTAGTAGACCACCACCACTGCATGATGCACTGTGTAAAACTAAAGTGTACATTTGAAAGCACTGACAGTCATGCATAGAATTAAATGTAAACTGAAGCTACACAAGCACAATAATGCTGGTAAAGATAAAGCTTCTACTTGTTGGGAAACTTTCTTTTTGTAAGATCTGGGACCCCAGCTACAAGTGATAATGCTATTTTGTATAAACTCTTGAACTAGTCTGCATCCCCCCCCCACCAATTAATACTTTCATTTTGAAATCTAATAAGCCATGCATTTTACTTTGAGGTTTCTCTTTGCAACAATGAAAACAAAATAGAAAGATACATATCAATATGTATCTGAATTATGTCATGCATAACTATTGCACTATGAGATGAAAGGGGGTAGATTTAGGCTTGTGGTGAAGCATTTATAACTTTAAAAGGAACACTGTTCAAGAACATTCCATCATAGTTGGGCAAATTTACAAGAATGAAAACATCAGGTAAAATTTGTCGCAATATCTTTAAATTAGATTTACAGCAAGGAAACCCCTCTCAATTAACATTAGATATTAGGATGTTCAATAGGGCTTGACTACATGGAAGTTTTGCACTAGTTCAAGTCGAGTTAATCTGCATCTAAAACACTAGCATATAATGTGGTAAAGCAGTGCTCCGGCAGGGCGGGGCTGCGCACTCTGGCGGATCAAAGCAAGTTTGCTATAACACTGTTTCATCTAGAATGCGGTAAGATTTTTTGGCTCCCTAGGACAGCGTTCTATCGGGGTAGAGGTGTATCTTTACAATTTACTAATTATTATTGTGTTAACTTGCTAGTTTCTGTTCTGGGTGCCCCATGGTGGCAGCCATTCTGACTCAGTGAAAACAGTCCCAGGATGCATGCTGTAATGAAGCAAAAAACCATGGGATACCCTCTGAGAGCACAACACCCTCAATTTGCAAAAAGCCATCACCATATGAACAGACAATTCAAATTGAAAAAAATGGAACAGGCTTTCCACATGCACGCTGTTGGTGTAGTTTGCATACAGTGCTTTACCAGATGCACAGCATCTGTGTAGACAAGCCCTTATAAAAGGAAGTGTATTACAAGGATGTAAGGAAGTATCTCAGAGAGAAAATGAGCTATGGAAATAAGAGCTTTTTTCAAAAAAGGGATTAGATCAGTGGTCCCCAAACTTTTCATGGTCATGCTCCCTCCTCCCCCTCGGGAGCTGGGGCCGTGGACAGGGGAAAGGGGGCTGTGGCTGGGACTGGGTAGCGCTCCCTCCCTTCCCGCAGTAGGTGCTGGCCCATGCCCTGCTGTGCCTCCTGAACATTCCTCCGCAACCCCCTACAGGGGCGCATTCCACAGTTTGGGGACCTGTGGATTAGATAATTTAAATTACAAAGTAACTCATTCAATTGTTCATACAATCCAAACCACTAAACAAAATGAGATGGTTAGGACTTTAAAAGCAATAAGTGGTTTACTGTGTAAAGTTTAATGACAAATCAGACGTTTGAAAACTTAGCCATGTAAGTGTAATTCATCACACTTTTAAAGAAATTTATATATGTACATAACTAGCATTGTCAGTTTAGAACCAGCACTACACAAACAATATCTATGGGGAATACAAAAACACACAACTGACCTGTGATAATTGTCTAGTGTATGTTAAGACATATGCTAATATATCAACATTAGGGTTTATCCAGTTAAGAAGGTTGAAAGTTTTCTAATAATGAGTTAGCTGGCATTGCTCACAGAGCAATATAATTTTTGCACAACCCCTCCAGAAATCACAACATGCCATCTTTAATATGGTCCTGGCATACACACTCCAGATGAGCCAAGGTTATTCAAGGTCATATCTGAACCAAGATTCCTAAATGTGATGACACACGAAAGTAGTGGGATCAAGTAGAACTCTTTTTAAATTAAACCCTAAAAAAGTCATTTAATAAAAAAAAAAAAATCTGTGCCATAATTTAATTATGCAGTTTTGATATTCAGCCCAATATTATATAGAATATTTTTAAACATTCAGTTTAAAGTTTTAACATAAGAACAGCCATACTGGGTCAGACCAAAAGTCCATCTAGCTCAGTATCTTGTCTGCCAACAGTGGCCACCGCCAGGTGCCCCAGAGGGAATGAACAGAACAGGTAATCAAGCGACCCATTCCCTGTTGCTCATTCCCAGTTTCTAGCAAACAGAGGCTAGGGACACCATCCCTGCCTGTCCATTGGAATAGGTGTGTCATCTATCTCCCCTCCACAATTAGGGAATCCCACAGCCACAAAGCCATTCACTATTTCATGCACATTGCCAAGAGTCACAGTCCTTCATAGCAGGATGCCGTCAATAGCTCTGCACACTTGTGTTAACGCAGCCCCAATGGTCAACTTTCCAACTCCAAACTGATTCGCGACCGACCAATGGCAGTCTGGAGTTGCCAACTTCCACACAGCGATCGCCACGAACTTCTCCACCAAGAGGGCGGCTCTCATTTTGGTGTCCTTGCGCCACACACAGTTCCTGGAAGGTGGCTTTCTGCATCCCAAAGTTCTGCAGCCACTGCTCGTCATGCCAGACCTGCATAATGATGCAATCCCACCACTCAGTGCTAGTTTCCCAAGCCCAAAAGCAACGGTCCCCCGTTTTGATTTAGAGAAAATAAAGCAAACTTTTTCAGAATATAAAGTGTTACAGTCTGCAATAAACTAAATAGTTCCAATGCTACTTTTATTAACAGGTAGGTAAAAGCAAGATGAAAACTACCTATTTCTATAGCTTAATTATGCTTTGTAATTTGCAAATTATTAGAATTTTACTCTGCCAGTCAAATTACATTCTTAGAAAAACCCATTATGAAAATTTATCTCAATACAGCATGTGCACTAAGTAGACAGGCATACTTATTTGTTAAGTATACTTGGTTCAATGTAAGACACAGAGTAGACATGATCAGTGTAAATAGCTATATAACAGTAATATGAAAAGATACAAGTATTAATTTATTTTATACTAAAATAATAAAGGCAATATAGACAGGAAAGTTACTATTTTTTTCAATTTAGTGACATCACAGAAACTAATTTTAATAAGTAGAAGCATAAAAAGTGAAAACACAAACATTACCTTCTACAGTGGTTGTTGTGGTCATTCTCTGAAAATACTTAAACTCATTCCTATCAATAGAACAAGAAAAAAAATCACAATGTAGGTTTACTCAGAAAAATGTGTTTGGATTTCTTTTGTTGATAATAAAAATAGATTTTAAGTGAATTTTAAATAAATGTAAGCAAGTTTATTGCCCCTGAGGTGCCATGCTGAAGTCCTCGATTCATCTAGGATGCATTATGACAGATGCATAGAAAGCAACAGTGGAAGGCTGCGTATAGCCATGCCTGAATCCTGACCTTTGCGACCTAAGTCCCGGGGCAGTGAGTAATCCAGCGCCGTGCCTCGAACCCGCCCACTGTTGGGAACGAGCCTGAGACCCATCACGCTCGTTTCCTGGAGGAGACGCCGCAGCCCAGCAGATGGCCCCTGTCCCGCTGCTACTAACCTGTCTGGTTTCAGACACCCATGGGCAAAAGGCCCCACGCAGTCCCGCCGAGCCGCCTCTGTCCTGTCTCGCGGCGCCGAAAGCCCCCTCCCCGCAGACTGCACATCCCGCACGCCACGCTCCCTTTAGAGGCACCCGACCCCTGGACACGGACGGCACCGCGTGCTAGGACTGCAGTCCGTTTGCGCAGCTCTCGCCCGGGTCGCACTACCTGAGTGGGGGCCAAGGGAGGTCTCCGTTCTTCCCGATGCCCATGTTCTGGCACACGGCGGCTATGCAGTTTAAGGGACGGACCATGGCGCTTCCTTTCTGCTGTCACCTCCCGTCTGTTCAGCCTCCCGCTTCGTGCAGACTTTGGCATTAGCGCGCCACAGTCCAGCCTCGGAGCGCTGAACATGCGCAGAGCGACACAGGCCTGCCGTGCTTGCCTTTTGGGGAGAAGGGGAGGGACAACACGCCGCTCACTGCAAAGCGTCACGTGACCGGACATCACCAATCACCTCTCTCTCCAGAGCCCCACCCCGGCAGCAGTTCAACCTCTTTCCCTTCTAACTCCGCCCCTTTCCAACCTGCACGTGGTGCCGTGATTGCGTCACTGTTGTGTTCGGCGGCGGGCGCAGGGACCTGCGGGGTCTGGCTGCGGGTTCCTGCGTTCCCAACCATGCCGCGGGGGCGAGAGCCCCGCGGCCCCGGACAGTCGGTGCTGAGTAAATTCTTCCGGCCGGTGGGGTCCCTGCGCGTAGCCGGGTCCTCAGCGGGCTCCGAGGCGAGCGGCGGCGAGGGGCTCCAGGCTGCGGCTCCGCACACGGTGCGCGGGGATGGGGCGCAGTGGCAGCCGGCGTGACGGGTGTAGGGAGAGGGACCGCTGGGCCGGGCGGGTGTGGGGCAGCAGCCACGGGGCGGGTTTTTTTTTTTAACGCGCTGTGACCCTGGGTCGGTGTGTGGCCACACATACTGCAATAAACAAACCCCTGCCAGCGCCACGGTGGGCCCTGACCTACCGGGCGTCTCTCGGGGCCTCGGAGCCCCTCATGCCACCTCCACTTAACTGCTGTGGTGCCTGGGTAACTGGTGTTATAATGCTGGGCTAGCTCCCTCATCCCTCCCGCCAGCAACACCACTACCAGAGCTGTATGGCTGAAGAGTCCCCGGTTGTGGTGTTTTGCTGTCTTGTCTACACTGTAATGCTTCTGATGACGATATTCTTAAGGACTAATCTACCCTAAGCAACAGAGAGTCCTGTGGCACCTTTAAGACTAACAGATGTATTGGAACATAAGCTTTCGTTGGTGAATGCCCACTTCGTCGGATCTACACTAGAAATTAGAATCGTGACAGCGGCACAGTTGTACTGATGTAGCAGTGCTGCTAGCGCAGATGCTCTATTCTGATAGGAGAGAGCTCTCCTGTTGGTATAATTACTCCACTTCCTTGAGTGGCAGTTGGTATGTCAGTGGGAGAGCTTCTCCAGCCAACATAGCACTGTCCACAATAATGACTAGGCCAGTGTAAGTTACGTTGCTCAGGGGAGTGGCTTTTCCACACCAAAGTAAGCCCTTAGTTGATGGGTGAGTGCTCGCCTGTCAGCTTAATAACTCCTGTTTCTGTGAGAGGTGGTAGCTATGTTGGTGGCAGAAGCTGTCCTGTGGACAAGCACTGTCTATACTGGTGTTTAGGTCAGTATCATTTATGTTGCTCAGGGGGGTGGATTATTCATAACCATGAGTGACATAAGTTATACTGAAGTAATTTGTAATGTAGACATAGCCTGAATTAAACTTCATTGTGAACTCATCACATACAATATTTACTTGGTAAGCGCTAAGGAGGCGAAACTTTGTTTCTTCTGTGTATATGATTATCTAGGGCAGAGAGAGTAGTAACATCTCACTCTCTTCTCCCTAATTCAAATCTAGATAATGTAAGGTTTGACAGAGAACTCAAAATAGCCAGGAAATGCAGTTAAGCAGAAAGTCTACATTTATCTCCATTTGCTTGTGCGCTGAGATATTGCAAACACACATAACACTGAAGTGTAAGATGAACTCAAGCTTCTAGGAAACCCATGTCATTTGTTTGCTTATATTTAGTTTGTATAAAGCTGAAAACTGAAAGGAACTAAATTTAAAATCAACTTTTCCAAATTATGCAAATCTCTCAGCCTAGGCACAATATCTTTTTTTACCAAGCTCTGTATCATGGTGATTAATGATAATTTAAAAAATTAAGAAAAAATATTTCCCCTGATTTAGTGGGTGTTCAGGATTTGATAAGGTTGCTTTAAGTTTATTTTCTGAGAGTTGTCCTATGTAAAACTCAAGATTCTTTGAAGCGGTTACTGCATATTCCCACTCCGTGGGTTGCACCCCCCTACTCCAGTTCCTCTAAGCTTTGGAAGCTTTTTGGAAAGCAATGCTTTTTTGGGCCCACACAAGTACTATCTTTGCAGCAGCTGATATTTGCAGCTGAGTTTATAAAAGAACTGTGTGACCCCAAGTGCCTAATTTTTTTTTCCCTTTCCAGAGTCAGGTGAGCATATAAGGACTTTTGTGTCTGGAGTGATTTTAGAGTCTTTTAAAAAAAAAATTCCCAAATTTTATTAACTGTATTATAGATAGTAAGTGTTAAGTAGTTTGCTCAACTGCACAACTATGTTTCTATTCTTGACCCACTGTCCTGGAACATTTCTGGTCATTGTTGATCAGACCTCTAAAGACACAGGTAAGAAAGGAAGATTTAAGTGATGAGCATTTTGCCCTTCCATGTATTTGGAGGCAGGAATTATTGTTTTTCCCTTCCCGTTCCTCTGTTTGCTGCTCATTTTGGAGGACCTTTGTATTGTAAACTTGCATCAACAAACAGCACTGATTCAGTGCCTTCCTTAATGAGGAGACCTTTCAAACTCAGTATCTGGAAATAACATCTGAAGAGCTGTCTATTCCTGTGAAGGGACAGAGCAGGCTGCTTTCAGCTTGAAGGCAAATCAGGAATGACCCCGACACCCAACTCAGTGCCAGATAGAATGGGGTCAGTGGCTTACTGGCAATGACAATTGAGACTTGTGGTTCTGGAACTTTACTAATAGTGAGGGAGGTTTAGGATTTTAAGAAACCACCAGAGCAGGTCCTTTTATCATTGTTGGAAAGAAAGTTAATGTAAATTGATGTTGCTCAAGCATTACTCTTGGGAGACTTCTGAGCCTAAAATATTGCATATTTTATTTTTCAAAATAACACAATAGAAGCATGGCAGTTTCAATTGTTTTGCTCATTTATTTCAAAATACCTGTCCACAGGAATGTCTGTAACAATACAGACAACAAAAGAAGATTCAGAAAATGTTTTCTGACAAATAGATTCCTTACTAGGCATATTAATACATTACTTTGAGTATCAGAGGCGTAGCCGTGTTAGTCTGTATCTGTAAAAGCAACAAAGAGTCCTGTGGCACCTTATAGACTAACAGACATATTGGAGCATAAGCTTTCGTGGGTGAATACCCACTTCGTCAGACGCATTATTACTTTGAGTAATAATTTATTTAAACTACAGTACAGACCCTCAGCCCCCCTGCTCTCCCATCCCCATGTGTCCTTGTACCCCCTGCCCCAGTCTGTCCCTCCCACTAGCCCTTCTGAACCCCAGTCTGATTCCCCAGCAGCCCCACATGCCCTGCTCTGTCCCCTTCTCCCCTGTGCCTCCTAACATGTTGCGTTCCTCACAGCACCCTCCTCCTCCCTATTGGCTACTGACTGCTATGGCTGCCCTCTGTTCTGGTGCAACAGCAGCCCCTGGTGGGTAAAAGGCGTAGCTGCAGCACTTCTTCAGCAGAATATATCTTCTGCAGAGAAAAAAACAATCTGCGGGAGTCATGAATTCTGCATGTGCACAGTGGTGCAGAATTCCCTCAGGAATAAAGCATGGGTCTGACGTATTTGTATGCAGATATATCTCTGTCTCTCTCTCTCTCAGGAGCCTTCATTTCTTCCAATATCATCAGACCTTCTCTCTCAAGTCTTGTCTTCTAATCTAGAATCACTTTACCTTGCAGCATGGAGTATGATGTGGCATGCTCTATAGATGTCTAGGAGATTTCTGCTGCAGTCTAGAAAAACATTTACGCTACTCAACAGGGGAAAAAGTTTTCTTTGTGGGCAGTTGGTGTTCCATGCCCATATAATGTATTTTAGAGTCTTCATTGTTTTTTAGTCTTTGAGCTTCCTTATCTGTCAGAGTGTTTTCAGTGTTATCTCAACATATCTGCCAGTCAGCTTTTCTACTCTTTTTAGTCTTCTCACCCTCAAAAGATTCTTGAAAGGTGTGGTTATCAGCTTCCTAGCAATCAGACATCTTGTTCTACAATGAACATCAATCTGCTGCTGCCGTGATGATATACTCACCTTTTGAGCCTTTTTGTCACTAAAGATAGGATTTTTTTTTAAATCAGAGTTACATCTGTGAGAAGAGCGAGTGAGTTGCACGTTTTAATAGGTGGTCCTTCTTTAACTTTGTTTTGAAGAGACAAAATTGTCTTGTGTTCTCATCCCAAATTTAAATAAAAAATAATATCCAAGTTCAGACCACTAACCTTATGGTTAATTCCACCTTGGGGAATCTAATCTAAAGAGGGCTTTTTATTTAGATAATTCTAAGAGATTTAGAAGGCTGTGTAAAGGGAATGCTATTTCTACTTCTGTTTAAGTGGATTAGGCTATCCCATTTAGACATGTTATGCATTAGCTAAGGTGTCCAAGTGAGTTCAGAGAGCCTCAGGGACTGTCAGGGCTAAGACAACATTTATGCCTCCATAATGTTTCCACTGTAAAAAATGTGCAGGGCTGCTATCTTGTGTGGTGTCCACATTTACATGACTATACTCTCTTTACATGACATCTAGAACTGATGTTTACTTTGGGAAGGCAGTTTTACAATCTTTTTAATTAGATCCCCATAACCCATTTTAGCACTGTGTTGTTTGCTAGATTCCCACAGAGTTCTGCTCAATGAAGAAACAGTGTTACAGTATTTTGAACGTGTTGCTTCTGCTATCAGCCTACTGTCCCCTTTCCTTGGATTTCCTTGCTTGTAGGACTGAAATTTAGCAAGTAGAAGTAGGCAACTGAGGCCACATGGCCATGATATAACCTTTGGCTAGAACAATTCAGAAGATGGTGCTCATGCAGCCTCACTGGGCAATACTTTTTAGAAAATTCTAGAAGTTCAGCTCTGTAGGGAGGTAAGGGGCACATCCCATACAGACAATGCTTTCAGAGAGCCATAGATATCATGGCAAGTGACTTTTTTT